CCACACCACCCATACCATCCCCCACACCACCCACACCATCCTCCACACCACCCACACCATCCTCCACACCACCCACACCATCCTCCACACCACCCACACCATCCTCCACACCACCCATACCATCCCCCACACCACCCATACCATCCTCCACACCACCCACACCATCTCCCACACCACCCACACCATCCCCCACACCACCCACACCATCCACCACACCACCCACACCATCCTCCACACCACCCACACCATCCCCACACCACCCATACCATCCCCACACCATCCTCCACACCACCCACACCATCCCCCACACCATCCTCCACACCACCCACACCATCCCCCACACCACCCACACCATCCCCCACACCATCCCCCACACCACCCACACCATCCCCCACACCACCCACACCATCCCCCACACCACCCATACCATCCCCCACACCATCCCCCACACCATCCCCCCACACCACCCACACCATCTCCCACACCACCCACACCATCCCCCACACCACCCACACCATCCTCCACACCACCCACACCATCCTCCACACCACCCACACCATCCCCCACACCACCCAAACCATCCCCCACACCACCCACACCATCCCCCACACCATCCTCCACACCATCCCCCACACCACTAACACCATTCGCCCCCACCACCCACACTCCCCACACCACCCACACACCCCACACCACCACCCACACCATCCCCCACACACCCCACCCACCACCCACACCACCCATATCATCCCCACACCCCCACACCACTAACACCATTTGCCCCCACCACCCACACTCCCCACACCACCACCCACACACCCCACACCACCACCCACATCATCCCCCACACACCCCACACCACCCACATCATCCCCCCACACCCAACCACACCACCCACACCAACCCACCCACACCCAAACCATACCACACCACCCACACCGTGTATTGAAGCAGCAGGCTTGGAAGTGTCTCAACTCGCCCGACAAAAAAAAAAATGATGGGTTGACAGGTCTCCTCTCACACCTCCAGGACCCCCCCCCCCACCCCCAGGTACCCGGCCATACACACCACAATGCCAAGTCAGCTATTGTTTTCTTCAGGAAACAATAAAACGTGTTAATGATTAATAATGTATATTAATACACGAAAATTAACATATTTTGGCATAAATATTTTACAGCTAAGATCGAGATTTATAATAGAGTATGAATGAGAGGTTTGGCAGCCATGCGTGGTCACCACCCTTCTCTCTCCACTTCCGCCTCCCCTGACACCACCACAAATGATGCCAGCCACCTCACCAAGGCCTAACGTTCACACGACCTGTGCTTGTTTTATTGGCCTCCTCAAAATTTATAGGTATTAGTACAGTACGTAGGCTGTTTGAGGGAGGGAGGGATGGATCCAGGAAACAACCCCCCCCCTCCCACCCCCCAATGGCTCAGGGAGCGACCGGCCGGCCACACAATGCCGGCTGTTATCTACACCCCAATTGTATTAAAAATTCTGTGAAAAGGAAATGTGTTCAAACTGTTTAAAATATGTACTGTATATATTACAATTTTCACCATTATTATTGCTCCAATATGACATTTTTCTAATAAAAAGGCTATTTTCAGTGTAGATAATGCGATAATTATCATTAAATTGACTCTTGGCATCTGACGACGAGAGGAGAGTGAGTGGTCTCTGTGGTCAGGTGGAGGAAGGAGGGTGGGGGCGGGGGAGCACGTGTTGCCTCCTGACAACAACTCTCTCACCAATGCCCCCCTGACACCATTTTATCACCATTTTTATCACCATTTCTCCCTAGAAACAATGGGTAGGGATAATAAAACACTACATAACTGTTTACACTCTGGCGAATCATAGTTGATGACAGCCAGCTCTGACGCTCGGCCTCGGTGACCGCTTGGACGAACATTCCTCACTTAATCGAACATTTGTATGTTCCACTGAACATTTGGTACCGAATTCAATTTGTTCGGCTCTTCCGGGAATTCGATAGAGCGGGGTTCGTTAGTCTGAGGAAGCACTGTATATATATATATATATATTGGTGTATACTGGCAGCAGGTTTTCTTTCAAACATGTTTCATTGAATATGACCGCATATTCTGTATTTATTATTTTCTGGTTTAGGGCTTCTATCCCTCTAACTATTTTCTTAGCAACAGGGCTTAATTGAAATAGGAGTTCTCCAAAACTCATTTTCGTACTTTTAAGGTGAAGAAAAGAAGTGATTTACTATAGAGTGTATTACACTTATTTGTATAATTTGCACGACGTTTCGAACCTCCATGGTTCATTCTCAAGTGAACAGATCTTACAATACTAGTTGATTTTATACCCGCATTAGGTCAGGTGATAATACAATGAAGGTGAAAACATGGGGGGATACATAAGGGATAAACATAGGGGCTGCAGAAGGCTTATTGGCCCATACGAGGCATCTCCTATCTAAACACAAAGATTAATCCAGTGTAATTGGCCTGTTATGTTGGACATTGTCTTCTGTGTTGGCATCGATATGTTCTTGTCTTGTCCTTACTCTCATGGTGGGTAGAGTAAATAGTTCCGTGATTTGGGTGTTCATGGTAGGTCGCTCTATTCTTATGTGAATTGCCTCAAGAATTTGTAATCTTCTTGAATCTTGGGTTTTGTCTATTATGCAAGTATTCTTGTTCAACATTTCTCTTGTTAGAGTAATGTCATGGGCTTGTCTCATGTGATTCCTAGGGGCACCAGATTGAAGATGGCATGTCAAACGCCTCGTCAGCTTGGTCGACGTCATACCTATGTACTTACATTGAAGGTTACATCCTTCGTGGGGGCAAGTGTACATGTATACAACGCTTGACTGCTGTAGAGGGTTCTCCGTCGGCTTCGGGCTGTTTTTGATAAGGAGTTCGGAAGTCTTCTTGGTTTTGTAGAATATTATCAGGTTTATGTTTTGGTTTGGTTAGGAACCTCTTTAAGCACCAACGTATATACCAAGCCCACCAACATAGGATTATGCCTGAACGGTAGAAGTGAGTGCCCCCAAAGATACAAAGCCAGTGTTCTCAATGCTTATATTCGTCGAGCGCTTACCCACTGCTCTGAATGGAGCAACGTGAGTAGAGAGTTTGAAAGAGTAACTCAGGTATTGGTGAACAACGGATATAGCAACGCGGAAATAAACGCTGCTATAAGAAGACACTTGGACCGTTGGTATAATTCAGAACCTAGAACAGAAACCACAACACCCCCAATAAAATTATATTACAAATCAACCATGCACAGTGAACATATAAAAGAGGAAAGAATAATGAAAGAAATAATCCGTAAAGGAGTAAAAAGCACTACTCCTAACCAAAACACATAACCTGATAATATTCTACAAAACCAAGAAGACTTCCGAACTCCTTATCAAAAACAGCCCGAAGCCGACGGAGAACCCTCTACAGCAGTCAAGCGTTGTATACATGTACACTTGCCCCCACGAAGGATGTAACCTTCAATGTAAGTACATAGGTATGACGTCGACCAAGCTGACGAGGCGTTTGACATGCCATCTTCAATCTGGTGCCCCTAGGAATCACATGAGACAAGCCCATGACATTACTCTAACAAGAGAAATGTTGAACAAGAATACTTGCATAATAGACAAAACCCAAGATTCAAGAAGATTACAAATTCTTGAGGCAATTCACATAAGAATAGAGCGACCTACCATGAACACCCAAATCACGGAACTATTTACTCTACCCACCATGAGAGTAAGGACAAGACAAGAACATATCGATGCCAACACAGAAGACAATGTCCAACATAACAGGCCAATTACACTGGATTAATCTTTGTGTTTAGATAGGAGATGCCTCGTATGGGCCAATAATCCTTCTGCAGCCCCTATGTTTATCCCTTATGTATCCCCCCATGTTTTCACCTTCATTGTATTATCACCTGACCTAATGCGGGTATAAAATCAACTAGTATTGTAAGATCTGTTCACTTGAGAATGAACCATGGAGGTTCGAAACGTCGTGCAAATTATACAAATAAGTGTAATACACTCTATAGTAAATCACTTCTTTTCTTCACCTTAAAAGTACGAAAATGAGTTTTGGAGAACTCCTATTTCAATTAAGCCCTGATGCTAAGAAAATAGTTAGAGGGATAGAAGCCCTAAACCAGAAAATAATAAATACAGAATATGCGGTCATATTCAATATATATATATATATATATATATATATATATATATATATATATATATATATATATATATATATATGTCGTACCTAGTAGCCAGAACTCACTTCTCAGCCTACTATGCAAGGCCCGATTTGCCTAATAAGCCAAGTTTTCATGAATTAATGTTTTTCGACTACCTAACCTAACTTTACCTAACTTTTTCGGCTACCTAACCTAACCTAACCTATAGAGATAGGTTAGGTTAGGTTAGGTAGGGTTGGTTAGGTTCGGTCATATATCTATGTTAATTTTAACTCCAATAAAAAAAATTGACCTCATACATAATGAAATGGGTAGCTTTATCATTTCATCAGAAAAAAAATTAGAGAAAATATATTAATTCAGGAAAACTTGGCTTATTAGGCAAATCGGGCCATGCATAGTAGGCTGAGAAGTGCGTTGAAGAACCTAACCTATCTCTATAGGTTAGGTTAGGTAGCCGAAAAAGTTAGGTTAGGTTAGGTAGGTTAGGTAGTCGAAAAACAAATAATTCATGAAAACTTGGCTTATTAGGCAAATTGGGCCTTGCATAGTAGGCTGAGAAGTGCGTTCTGGCTACTAGGTACGACATATATATATATATATATATATATATATATATATATATATATATATATATATATATATATATATATATATATATATATATTATTTAGTTAGTTACTGGAAGGGTTAAAGTTTTAGTGAGGTACACTCTTAATACTAAACTAGAAGTAGACTAACATATAAATTGTTAAAGAGAACACTTGTAATTGTTTCAGAACAGGCTTACTGCACAGAGACCCGACCATACAACCAGGGGGCACGCCTCACTGCCTACGAGCTGGTGTTTGAGAAGATGCCGGCTACTTTGATCTGTGATAGTATGGCAGCGGCCTTGATGAACTGTCGCAACATTAATGCTGTTGTCGTTGGAGCTGATAGAGTTACTAGGAATGGCGATACTGCTAACAAGATAGGTACATATCAGGTATGTATTGTTAGTATTCAATATTCAATATGTATTCAGTATTCAATATGTTCATAGGATATATTAGTTTTGTTAAGTTATGGGAAAAGTAGAATATGTTTCAAGGTTGAGAATTTTATTAAATTAAAAAATTAAAATAGTAAATGAGTAAAATAATATATAAGTTATTGTTCACATATTTCATTATAGAACAATTTTCAATAAATCAGTCCTGGAAAAAAATTGCAGATTGAGTCACATTCTATTAAAAAGATGAAATATTTACGTGAAGTTGCATAAATTATATTCATTTATTAAAGCTAAATAGGAAAGGAAGTGTTTATAAATATTGTTTATATTTTAATCAAATACTTTATGTGGTGATGTTTGATTCTCACAGTGCAGGTCAGTTAATGTAGACTGTGTGATATCTGGGGCTTGACTCAATTATTTAATTATTTAACTATTTAATTTAAAAACGAAGGACCACCCACTTTTGAGAAAAGAGGGAAACTAATAAAAAGTGATCATTAGAAACACAAGGAAGAACCAGTGTCTATGGATAAATATTGGAAAGAATAATCACTTAAATAAATAATGGACTGTATGGTTAATTAACTAAAGTCAGAGCCTCAAACACCTACATTGGGGGGGGGTATTGCTAGAACTTCATATACGTCTAGGAACTAGTGTGGTTCGTGCACCAGTTCATTGTTGAATAAAGAATATTATGACCAAATTATTATAGAATCAATAGGTAAATTCAAATAGAAAATATTAATGATTGTTAGAATTAAAGAGCAATCATCTAAGTAAACACATCAATCTCCAGTTCATGTGGCAAGTACTCGATATGATAATATTATGGATAGGTATAATAAAAGTGGAGCAATTAAATGTGTACAAAAAGTCTTAGCTTTAAGACGATTTCTATGACATCGTGCCTTGTCCTCGTGATCTCAGGATCTCCACGTAGAAGCCCTTAGAGGTGAATAACACGAATGTAGTTAACGGCTCGTTGACTCCTCACATACGAGCTGTAATTTAAAGGATATTACGTAGCATTGAACTAGGCTACTTAAATCTCAATATTTATGAAAATAGAAAATAAAGATTAATGCGGTACTAACAATGGATTTTTTGTCGTCTTGCTATGTAACGACAGACTGCCCACGAAATATACAATCTCTAATGATGCATCAAGAAAGAAATAAATACTTAGCGTGAGTGCAGTGTATGCTGAAGTCTGCTGGTATCGCGTCTCAGTCTCAAACTTCCACAATGTTGTACACGTGGTTGAGAGTTTGGCTTGATTATCGATGCGTTATTATTTGACCGAGCACTGTGGATCACGTGGAAGAATAATTATTCGTTCTAAGCTGAGTATCAGTGTAATTCTTGCTGATAATCCCAAAGTCACGTGTCTCAGACTCTGACGCCACGACTTTCCTGTCCAAGTACGTGCGCTCGCTGCTCACTCCGCAACACGAGCTACCGCCACACACACACTGGCGTCTCCTTCTCCCTCAACCCGCGTCCCGCATTCACCACAGAAATTATTTATCATGAATAATACTATTTCGCGCAATTGTGGTTGAAATACTTTAATAAAGACTGGGTTGTGATTCTAGGGATTTAAATATTATTGCTTTCCCGTCTTATGGTGGTAAACGAGAAAGGGAGAAGATTTTAGTTTTCTCCATGGCATTCATGCGTGACAGAAAAACTATTACTTGATAACAATTGTAACTAAAAACTCTCGATTTAGAATTATTTGGGAGTTATGTTATCCGTAAATAATTATCACACGGAACACTGATGATTTTAGAGAACCACATTCAATTCTCTAAAACACTGGCAATAAATGTGTTTAACTAGATATAATCTGACGCAATACTGGTGCTTGGTTTCGTAAGAATTCCAGCATCCATATGTAGATATAATGGTTAGTTTATGTGAACATTACTGTTAGTAAGTTTTAGTGACTACTGTAGTTAGTATATAATAATACTGATTTATTATAATACAATAGTATTGTATTAGTGTTGGAAATTTCCAACATAGACTGCACAAATAAAATGAGAATCCTTTGGAGGTGGAAATGATTTTAGATTATGATATTATTTACTAGAACAGCGATCAAGCTGGGTAAAGGAATTCCAGTAAACTTTGTATACTAAATAAAGTAAACCTATTACTTAATAATTATCACTAATAAAGGAAAGTAAATAGTTGAACTTCTATTAGATCTACAGATATGTGGAAATTTATTCTCCGTGGGTGGCTGATGCAACACTGCACATTTCTAGGAGAAATTACATGATGTTCCACATCCTAATGCAATGAATTCTATGATTCTAAACTACGGATTAGTAGTGTTAGTTAATTATGACGCTTAGTACAGGAAATACATCCCATTGTACTAAGGATTAGTAAATGAATATTAAATGAGTATGAAGCCTAATACAGGAAATACATCCTATTGTATTAGGGATGAGAATAATTGTTGGAAATTTCCAACATAGCATGCTTGGGAGGAAACGTGCTTGGGAGGAATCGTGCTTGGGAGGAAACATGCTTGGGAGGAATCAAGCAAGCGTGTGGGTAGGTGAGTGATGTGGAGTAGGAGGCGAGTTGATGCAACGAACCAGCGGATGGATGAATATAGATACATTGTTTAGTGCCATCAATCACATGGGCAGGCAAATGGGTGTGCGAGAAAGATGCCAGGCTAATGACTGGGGAAGCGGCTTGTCCTCTCAAGCATTCACAAAATCACTAAACAGATGTACTCAATTGCCCGAACCTAACCTAACTGAGGACTCGTGAAGAGAAAACGGGACATTTTGTGAGCCATTATGATTTTTAGTATATTAATATTTTGGCCCTTTGGGCATTTAGGTCGAAATGCAATGTACTATTCTAGAGGAAGGGTTACGGGAGATGGTAAGGCACTATACCACTACTTACTATTTAACCCTTTGGTAGCTGTCGTCATCTGTCTATTCACCAGGTAATGCTGTTATCGTCATATGACGATTTATCTAATTATTGCCTAGATTTTACATGTATGATGCAAATAGGGATATAGTTTGTTTTTGTGGATGAAATGGAGTTTACCTTGACCTTTGAAATAAATCCTGCTCTTATTAGTTACTAGTAAATCCTGTGCAGGCGATGAGTCACAATAACGTGGCTAAAGTATGATGACCAGACCACACACTAGAATGTGAAGGGACGACGACGTTTCAGTCCATCCTGGACCATTCTCAAGTCGATTGTCTTGAGAATGGTCCATTCTCAAGTCACAATCGACTTGAGAATGGTCCAGGACGGACCGAAACGTCGTCGTCCCTTCACATTCAAGTGTGTGGTCTGGTCATCATAGTAAATCCTGTTACTCATTACTTACTAGGTGAATGCGGTTATAATCATGTGACGATTATCATCTGTGGGTGCATGTTAGTGGTTTACGCCTTTGTTTCAATCCATACTCCCGCCCATACAGTATGGTGCAAATTAAGCCACATGTCATCTCCCAGAGCCCAACACTATTGAATAATATGTTTATGTCCTTTTCACTGCCCTATATGGTTGTAATGGTTTATACCAGATAAAACAATCATCAATTAAAACTTTGATGCGTTATGTGAATTATGTGATATATCAAGTTATTCAACACACTTACTCTTGTAAATAAAGAGAAAAAAATGGTTCAGCATCGGAGGATAACACAGGAAATGTCAGCAAAGTTGAGCACAAGGCATTGACAGGCACCAGATACACCCACCACCCCATCTTCCCAAGCCCCTCCACCCAGTGAAACAATAAATATTCACTTATTTTCATGTTTTTCTTACATTTTGCATACAAATTCATAATTCTATAATGAATGATTATTTTGTTGAATTTTTAAATTTTTTGAGCATAGGCAGGTATGCCCATTTTTCAATAGCCGCTGCCCAAGGGTTAAACTTCACCACTGTGGAATCAGGGCTTTGCCCTGAACTATAATCAATTCCATCTTAGTGACAGACACCAATATGTAGACATCAATGATAAAACCTCCCCCACCCTACCATTAACTGTAGGGTTAATGGTAGAGTGGGGGACAGGTGGGGCAATTTTCCCACAGGGCAGCATCCTAGGACCTCTCCTGTTTCTTATATACATCAATGATTTGCCAAATGTCTCTAACATTCTTAAACCTACTATATATTATTTGCAGACAATACTAACAAAAACACGGCCTCCAGAGGAGAGCATGAAGGCCCCCCCAACCTGACAATTGGAGGCAAGAGAAAGCAAAAACAATGACTTACGGAAACAATCATGGGCTGAAGGGGACACAGTAAAATGAGATGAAGAGAAAAATGCAAAACACCATCTACAAACTAAGCCATGCAAAACAGCTGAGGCAGTACCATCCCCTAATGGAAGTTGCAGCGGCTCTGCCAGCCCCGCACGATAATAGGCAACAGTAGCAGAGAACTAGAAAACGACAAGAAAGAAAGGAGATCACCACATGCTCAGAAACCAAAGAACAAAAATAAACTGAAAGGAAGTGGTGAAAGGAGTGCCATGAAATCTCATACTATTGCCGAGAAGAAGAATACAGGAACACCATTAAAGATGCCACTTACTCGTTGTAAGGTGATAAGATGCATCAAAAAGTCCAGGTACAAAAAGTGGAGGATGAGATTGAACCAGCAAAGTATATCACCAGTCAGATCTTCTGGTAGAAGCAGAGCCATGGAAAATTGCCCAGGTTCAGAAATCAAGCAAGCCGCTCTTGGAACCAAGGCTGAGCCGGCCACCAAGAAGCCAGAAGGAGCACCATCCCTTAGTAGGACTCGAACCTGGCCAGGACCTGGAACAACAGCCGGACTGGTAGGAAGAGGTACAGGAACCCCCATCTCGAACAGTTCAGCTTCAAGGTGTCCACCGTGAGAGCCTCACAATCTTGGAATGGAGCCGTTTACTAGGGAAGGTACAGATTCCACACTGATGCAAAGAGGTCC